CGCCGCGGCTCAGCGCTCTCGTGACCTGACTGTAAGACCATGTTTCGAGTAGAGCCAGAAACCTGCAGCCTCTTGAGTTCTCATGCCCTTGGCCTATCATTGCAGGAGGTTCGTGACACCTTCAGGGACCGCATGGGCTGGACTGACCGTGAGACTGTGGCCCTCATCGGCGGCGGCCACACCCTTGGTCGGACCCATGGCAACTGTACCTTGGACTTCGCAGTTGGGGCGGGGGGGGGGGGGGTNNGGGGGCGCTTTTTGTTGTTGATGAGATTTCCAGTCTTGTGTCCAAGCCTAGCAGAGGCATATCATACTGCACATGATGAGAGGTTTGTGCAGAGTCAGGCTACACAGTGGAGCTCCTGAGGCAATCTCACCGGCACCAAGTGGGCGCAGGATCCCTACAACAACATCGGGCCCTACTTTGAGGTCCTTGCCGCAGCTCTTGCTCCCGCCACGCCTGTCGTGAATTTTGCAAATAATGCAGTCTGCTACACCTCTCATCCCCCTAGATGGGAAGACCGCCATGTAAGACTCAAGAACATTGTGTCCTTGGACTGTTCAATTACACGGAGATTGCACAGCATTGTGGTAGTGTCTTATCAAGACAAAAGAACATGGAAGCTATATGCATTTTCAGCTTTGAATGGCATACAGACCACGAGGAAATTACTAATAGGACATAGGAGCTGTAGGTAGCTGCAGGCCACTCCTGGCAGTCTTCGGGGACCCACAGATGGAACCTGCGGCACCGGGACAGAGGCTCATTGCACAAAAAACCTTGGGAAGTCGGGCGTGTAATGCGGGACGAGGGCAAAGGAGATGCGTGTTGGAGGCTCCGTAGAAGGTTGGTGTAGACACGCGAAGATACACGTGGCGTTGCTGTGAGCTTGATGTGCGTGGTGGCTTGGCTGCTGCCAATTTCTGCAGGCCGGCCGCGGCAACAACACGGTGTCCTCTGGCTTTGAGGGCCCTTGGACACGCAGCCAGGAAGCAGTGCATTGTATCCCCCACATATCCACAGGGTTGGTTTCTCACACAGAATGAGGGTCCCTAATGTTGCATTCTCGTTCAACTCTAGGGCCCCCCCCTCCCCCTAACAGTCTTCCCAACAATGGCCTGAAATTGAATCGGCGGCGGCCAAAACGCAGCATTCAAGGTCTCTTCAGTAAAGTCAGCGCAACAGTAGTATGTAAGCGGAGAGGTCAGGAGGTCATCCAGGAGGGCGTGCCATCTCTTGTGGAACATGCTATTTCTAATTCTGGCGGGTGGTTTGGCTTAAATGCTACACGCTCATTCCTCCTGCATGGTAGTTATTGAAGATCCAAACAAGTGCTGCAGCAGAGCACTGAGGCAGCCCATCGCGGTGGAATTATGATTTCTTCGATGCCCTGATGTCGGAGGAATGGGTGCCTGCAAAGAGCCCGAAACTTGGGCCGCATATCGGAGACATGTATGATTCGGTGCTGGTTGAATGGATGAAATCAAACAACATATGCACGTTGCCGAGGTACGGCAATGATCAATGGCACACACGTGACCGGTCAAGCAAATTTGCCAAGACCATGCGCTTGACTGCAGATGTTTCCCTGATCGCAGACCAGACCTACCTCCATTTGGTTGAGGAGTATGCCGCCGACCATGCCAAGTTCGATTCGGACTTCGCCAACGCTTGGTTCAAATTGGTGCACCGCTCGGAGGACCACCCTCACCAGGACGATCTGGAGAAGGATGCCGGCTTCTGCACCAGCTTCGAATTCCTGACTGCTCAGCAAGAATTCTTGCCGTGAAGCCATAAGGGCAACAAGTGTAGCCATGTATTGTAGGCATTCGTACAGAAACGCCAGCAGCGTACGCGATGCACAGTCTCCCTTAGCAGGTGCAGGTGTACAGAATCCGATGCATCGCATGTAAAACAGTCCACGAGCGGCACTGCCTGCAGACCAGCAACCTGCAGAGGTTGCGTCTTGCAGGAACTACAGACAGCATCCAACCCAACCTTTCGTGAGGCGTCTGCCCCATCCCAGTGTGAAGTGTACAGAGCAGAGGGGCACCTCTACGCATCTTTGGGCGCAATGCAACGCCGCTGGGCATGCAGCAAAAAAAAGGTGCCCTCAAGTCAGGAGTCAGGGGTGTTGTGCCTACGCTAGCAAACTTCGTAGTGTAGTAGGCAGAAGATGTACCAATTAAAAGGATAGCCTAGGCAGGAGTAGCATATGTCTTGCTGACATACTCATAGTCCTGGAGGCGGATCATACATGCGCTTGCCAAGCAATATCACTCCCGATGCGCCCAAGATCACAGGCCTACTGACAAGCCTCGCCCAGGAGTAGGCCAACTTCACCAAGTCATCGCAGTTTCCCAGAGCGAGCAGCTTCCCGCCCTCAATGCACAGCTCGCAGGCCAAAGGTCTCATCTTTGGGAAGTTTTCGCAGAAGTTTACTAATCTCCTGGACCCTTAGTCCAAAACCCTATACATCCTACATTCTACTTGCCATTCAGCAGGCAGAAAAGTCCAAGGGGTCAAAACATCTACGTGCAAGGCCTACAAGACTCCTAGCATGTACATCTTGTACCTGAGTACAACTCCTCAACTAAACCCTGGACCGTAAACCTCAAACTTGACATCTCCATTCCGCAGGAATCCCACATCTAAAGCGTCTAAACCCATGAGGTGCTATCCTTCTTCCTGGGAGCGGCGTCTGCCAGCGCCATTGCCGTGGCCATTGCCATGGGAGCGGTGGCCTCAGCAGCCTCGGCCGTCAGGTTTGAGGCTGAAGCTGCCGATACATCGGGCGTACCTTACAACCTGCTCCTGAACCTTGGGTGAAATATAATAAATGAACCGCGGTCTAGGGCTTGAGCTCCAAGGTGTACCGTCTAGCGGCTAAGGTTTATGCCTTGGGTTTCAAGATATTTGGAGAGTTTCTTTCGGCACTACCCACACGGTCTGGTAGGGGTGTTCTCAAGTGGACTCCTGTGAAGTTTCTGGGCTATCCTTCGTAAAGACTACACTGACTGCATGCTTCTGGAGATGGCGGAGTGATGTTTCCGAAATCCCGCACCCATCATCTCTGAAAGGACCCAAGCCTGTATCCTTAAGGTTTGTAATGTTGAGTTTTGGGTCCTTAAGGGTTATATTCCATGGCGTAGGGGTCCAACCCCAGGGTACAGAGGAGAACTCCCTGCGATTTCTATTGCTACCGCGGGAAATAATCAATGGATCATCATTGACCATAATGGATACGATTGCTCATGCTGATCGCCTGCGAAGATCATAAAATCCTGCATTCCCTCTGTGCCTCTGTGGCATTTTGCAGATGTTTGTCCCAACAGGGCCACAGCAAAACCCCTGAAAGCCAGTAGATGCACAGAGCCTCTTCCTTGGCAGGTACCGCAATATTGCTGGAATAGGTATCTAAAGGTACCCAAGTAACTTCAAGTAACCCCCATGTGAAGGTATTTGGACCCCTAGGGTCTTGAAGAGTGACCAAAGGCTGGACAAAGACGTGCCGAAGCGATGTCTGAACCGCTTCTAAAGGCCCGGTTTTCTGGCCATTTGGCTTTGAGCTTCAAATGTAAAGGGTGAGGTAACTTGGGAATTTTGAAAATGAAGCTCAAGGCTTCCAGCTTGACCCATGTTTTGTTGTTTTAGTGATTGTCAGTGTGCAGGTAGGGTTTGTTTGGATTCTTGGCGTTGTCCGGGGTTCAAGGTTCTGCAGAGTCTCCTACAACGCAACATTATCCCCTAACTTGTCCAGGTTTAGCCCTCGTGAGGTGGCTGCCGTGCAGTCAGGACCTTCCAAGAAATCTGTGAAGCGCGTGCAGGCCTCATTGCCCCTGCCATGACGCAGGAGCAGTCGGAAACGCGGCTCCTTGGTTGTTCCGCCACATGGGATAAGGGGGTTCGGAAGGAGCTTCCCAGGGCTTTGGGAAAAATGCCCATCTCAACTGAGCCGCTGAACAAGATACCTAGACCTACACCAGAGTAGACCCCAAGCCCCATGCCCTAAGCCACGGAACTTATAAACACTAAGCCCTAAAGCTGAATCCGGAAAAAGTAGCCTGCAACCTCAACCCTACATAAATTCGTGCATGGTCGATACGCAAAATGCTCATGTAGGTGGGCCCCCTTGAGGCGGCTCTTCATAACACACTGTTATGAGTTATCGGTTGTAGGATTGCAGGACATTGCGGTATCTGTCGGGGGGGGGGGGGGTCGCGGGAGCTCTGAGGCTGCCCTCAACCTACTCAGCTAGCAGCAATGTCTTTGATCTTTGCAAGCTGGGAAAAACATGGAAGCCAGCTTTGCAGACGTGCTAAATCCGCTCCAGTTTCCAATTCGACCCTGCGTACTTGCAAGCATGGCAACTTACATCCCTTCTTCAATGTCAAACCCTTCTGAACAGTGAAAGGATTATGTAACACGCCCATTATTTGTCATAAGGCTAAGTAGCGATCGGCATGAGACGTCGCAGCCGCAATGATGCTTGATGATTCATGCGCAGCTGGTCATCGACAAGCGGTGGTAGATAAACGATTGGTGCATTGCTTTGTCCCGAGACATGCGATTTTTTGGGATCCCTGCCCGCTTGATCCCGTAGAGTGCCATGAGCCCTGCATAAACAACAGAACAAGTGCAGAATCTGTGGGGAACTGGCAGAATGTACATCCTGCACATTCCCCTCCCTTTAAAACCGATGCCCCAATTCTAGAGGGAATCACCAAAGGGCAGACGATGCATCGTAATGGGCTCAGGCTGCAGCATGAGAGGCGGATCGTGCCCTCGCAAGCGCCTGAGGCCGCGTCAACACTTCGCAAGTCAGTCCATACGTAGAATTTTCCGAAAGCACCTTAAGAATGATGTTGAAGAAAAGTTTCTGGTGGACTACGTATAGTGACTGATATAGTGTCTTGAGACTTTGGTAGGCTTTGCATTTCCTCTGTTGCGGCTGTACGAAGACGCGCTTGCAGTGGGATGTTTTTCACTTTGTACAACGTGGTCGGACGTTGTTTAACCCTGCCTGGCGAATTGCAAGCCTTGCGTGGTAGTAGAAATTACGCGCATAGCTAGCGTAATCGCCAACATACTTGTACAACGATACTTCTTCAGTGCACCAATAGTCCAAAACAGCAGGACTGTAGTATACTCACATGAGCAGCCGGAGTTCTACTGGGGATGCTCGCCTAATAGTAGGGGTAGGAGCCATTGTCGTAAGACTTCTTACACAGTGAGCAACCTGATTAACCATCCTGGGAGTGAAAAAATCTGCAGGTGCTGTCATAAAAGTACTTTCCACTGTTGTTGGAAATTGATGAGTATGCCCACAAACCTAAGTAGCATGGTCGACGCTTGTGTTGCTATGTCGGATAGGGTGCTGTCCGCCTCTGGCGGAAGAACCTTTCAGAGCAGGAGCGCTAGAGTCACTGGATTGTTCTTGTGCGCTTTCCAGCATAGATGGCATGCAGGATCACAAGGGATCCGTATGAAGTTTGTCAGAAGCATGTAACATCTACAAAAATGCGCTCCGTCCAACCTGGATCCACATGCATCGAAGTTCTGCCCCGAGATCCTGGTTGTAGGGGCCGTGCGGTTCCCCATCCTATGTTACAAGGGCAGATTCTTGTGTTTTCGTTTTGCCCCTAATTAGGCCGATAAGAGTACAAGGGTCCAATCATGGAGATGAGAGGCCAGTGACACCTGCACAAGGCGAGGCGTTTGCCACGGCGGGTTGTTTAGGATGTTAGTATGCGGCGTGAGCCCAGACGAGGATGGGGCTGCGAGGCGGGGAGCCTTGCAGCCCTGAGGCAACGCGAGCAACGCGAGTTTAGGGTGACTATTCTGCAGCTTGAAATCTTTGTCCTTAGCTCGCACAAATCGCAGCAACGTTTTCATACACTCCCAGAAGATGCTGATGTTGTGTAACAGGTAGACCGAACCCACCTTCTATCCACCTCCCAAGATGAGCCGCTGTCAGGTCTTCTCGGAACTTGTACGGGGGGTAAACATTGGCATGCGTACTGCATGACTAAGAGAGCGTTAGGGTCAAAGCATGCTCGGTGCCCCTTCCTGGGCCACGGCTGCTGTACTCTTGTCCTCCTTTCCTGAGGTGGACAGGGAAGATTCAGTGCTACTCCCGAGTTCTAGCAAGTGAAACAAGGTGGAAAGGCTGTACTTTGGGAAGCCGGTGTATCTTCCAGCCTCCACCCGACCGCTACGAGAAGGAAGGAGAGGTTGAAATTGTGGAGTCGAGGTCACGGTCTACCAGCCGTTGTGGCAACATGCACGCTCCGCACGCTTCAGTTGCAAGAGCAGCGCCAGTCCTAGTCCATTGTCAAGAAGCATAAGCTGGACAAAAGCTTATGGTTTAGGTCCCTGTCTCTGCAGGATAGGGCAGCCTGAGTCATAGTTATGTTCGCTTATGAATCGGAGTCTAGCATGTTTCTGTGAGAATTGTTGAGAAGCATGTTTGGGTTCTTTCAAGCCCTTTTTTATTTGGCGCAGTCATGCTGCCACGCTCTGTGAGCTGCGTCCTCCTCTGCATTGGGATTTGTGAAGCACAGGTTCCTCTCTAACGCTGTTAATGTGAAAATCTCTCCGTCATGATCACAACCAACAGCACAAACCTCCTATACCTATGTCACCTTGATCTTGATGAGGAGGAAGCATCTGCTGCATCTTTAACAAGCCCGGACCGACTTAAAATGGAGATTCAAGGCTTCTGAAGGCCTTGGCAGGCCAAGTAGGTTCGGCACCGTTATGGTAAGGCCAATGCCAACCACTGGCGTCCTAGCATGAGCATGAGAGTTGCACTAGTCACATATCAGCACACAATACTTCGAACAGTTGCTACGAGACGACTAGAGATTTTGGATGCCGCGCATACTATGCAGTCAGGAAAGCTTCCAAAGACATATGGACCCAAAAAAGATCCCGGATACTCCTTCATGCTGTTTGCAAGATGGCTCTAGGCAGCATCAAGCTGTAAGTAAGCAATTCCAGCATCAGGAGTAGCAAGAACAGAAATGCAGCTGGAAAACAAGAGTTCTCATATCCTGCATGATCACGGCTTGGTCAGTTAATTAGAGTCGGGTGCTCTGAATCTCCTGAATCCATGCCGCATGAGTTTTTCATACGCCCCGTCGGCACCCACACCAACCCTCAGACTCGTGGCTGGTTCTGGGATGAGTCTTAGGTAATTGCATCAAGGCTGGGGATGTTCCATTGGTATCTGGCTTGATTACAGGATTGGATTGCTGGAGACTGCAACCTGAAAATGCTGTGGCTTCTGCGGTAGCAGACATCATCCTTCATAACGCTGGCCAACTCTACAAGCACTTAAGCCATAAATACCTTCTACCCCTTTCAACCCAACACACGCTCAAAACCAACAAGATTCAATTGCCACCCTGAACCTTTCACCCTACAGTGGCCCTACGTCGACAAAACCTGCCGCAGTCTGGTGGCCAAAAGGGCGGCGAGGCTGTCACATGTGCTCGTGCCGCCACGACGCCCTCGATGTATCGCTTGGAGTGAGCCTTTCCCCCAAAACCCTTGGAAAGCAATTCCCCGTATGAGAGTATGCCCAAATAAACCCAAAAAAAAAGAGGAGTACAACTACCTGGAATCCTTATCTATCACTAGCAGCACTAGCATCCCAAGAAGGGTGGCCCCCACGTTGCAAAAAAAACTTGGCAACTGCATGGATCCAAGGGGTGTGGTCTTTCTGATGAACGCTCTTGGCATTTGTATCCGCAGGGGGTCCATCGCTCCAAGACAGAGGGGGTGATACATGCGGCCTGCGTCGTCTCAGCCGGAAGGGTTTGGGGCCGGATTCGGATCCACATACATACAATCAATATCAGCGTCCCATCTGTTTCTGAGAAATGCCCTATGTGGATACTTCGCCGCGGATCCTCTGTTGGGGCTTATCCATCTGATGCGCTCAACTCCTTTCAGGCTGCACTGTGCTGGCAGAGCATTGGCATTGCAACAAAAAGGCCGGACGCAAGACACAGCTTGGAGGAGTTGTTGTCGAATCTGACCGCAGAAGCGTATGATGTGACTGCAGTTTGGCCATGGTTTGCTATCTTGACGGAGGTTGGGCTCGGTATTCCAGTGGCAAACACTTAGACAATCTTAAAAATCAGTCGTCGGGAAGCGTTAGGGCAAATCCGCAGCGTTTGGGCCTGGCTTAGACATGACCTTCACAGATGATAGCAATGCGGAGGGTGGTGAAAGCAGCTGGATCGCTGCAGAAATTCTTAAGTAGCCCAACCATATCATGACCAAGCGTCACCGGGACCTCTGTCACCAGCCTAGGCCACTGCACCTCCTTGACATTCCGAAGCAAGCGACCAGCTACTTGCAGAAGCCCCCAGTGAGCGCTCAACCAAGTATTTTCAAAGAAGCCGAACAGCATAGTAAACCCCCCACGTAGCTCTTGGGGTAAGATTTTCTCTCATAAGTCATAAATACTTGCGCATCTTGGGTGCCGAACGACTTCCCTTCAACCCCAATCCAGCAACCCTAACCCCCAGGCCCCACCTGCTTGAAAGTGAAACCTGGAGCCCCAAACTCCTAAATCCTGTTTGAACAAAAACCACATGTATCCTCTTCTGAGAGCACCCGTGCCGCTGGTGCCCACGCCGGGCATCAGCTGCGCCCGCTCCAGTTTGGGTCCACGAGGCTTGCGGGTACGGATGGAGGAATGGTTCGTTGGAGGGTTGAAGGAATAATGCGTTATGGGAGATCAGGATTTAGGGAGTAGCGTGTATAGCGGATAAACGAGAGTAGGGTTTTAGGTGCGGGGTTGTGGTTCAGGGTTCACGTTTTCTTATTCAGGTCTCGCATGCAGGTCTTCAGGTGTAGCACAAAGCTGAGCGCTTCGATATAAGAGCGAATGTGTCCATGACCGTAAATGACACGGACATAGACACAAACACAGACGACTGAGACGCCGACGATGCTGCCACCTCCGCGACGACGACCACTTCCTACTGGTAACGCCAGCAGTGTTTTTTTGCATCAACAATCCACAACCATGGCGCTCAAGATTGCGCGTTGGGAATTGACACACTTGCTCAAGTAGCATCAAAAGCAATCCCATCCTGGACTCCCCAAGTCATCAGCCTTTTCAAGAAGGTTTTGGCAGGGAGGCGGCTTGCCGAGTAGGCTTGTAGCGTGTTGTGTTCTGTCGCGCTCATATAGGGATCCTTTTCTTTGCAAGCCAGGTTTATCCTCCAGCATACCGCAAAAGCGATCCCAATCCTATAGGCTCATGTCTCATCGAATTATGGATGAGGGTCCAGGTTGAGAACTTATAGGCTACATGGCTCCACGAGTCGCAGACCTAGGTCTTTTTTCTTCAGCTGGATTTCGCTGAATCATGAGTTCTCTATTCGAGAGGACAAGCTTGATGAGTTGCAGCCGCAACAGTACAACTTTGCAAAGGGTTGAAACCTGATGGAACATCTTCTTTGAACAGCTATTGTACTCAGCAGCCCCAAGCTTGAATCCTTAACCCCACAAGGATAAAGGAGTTGACGAGTTTCCTGAGGTATCCACAAAGTGTGCTCACTTGATGCTTCCTTTACTTAGCCTAAGCTGGCATGGCTATTGTCCCTCACCTCTAGCTGCCTGAATCCACGGACAATCAATAATTGTTGCTCCAGATGGATCATTGGGGCCCCGTCTTTATGGCCCCAAAAGAAATTGCTCCCTCAACCCTCTAAAAAATCGTTACTCCTTGAAATGCATCGCAATCCCACACCCTGAAGTCCCATATCATCACCTAGTGACCTGGTGCCTCATCATCCCCCACCACACCGGAGAATCCCAAAGCCCAAGCTCAACCCGAGCCCCAAACCTTCGACACTATAATCCCTATTTAATCTCTATGTAATTCATTCCCTACGAACCCGCAGTGTGTACGAAAGCACCCGGCCTGTCAAGGTGGGCCCCGAGCTTCTGTCCTTGCACTTCCGGCAGCCGCTTGTGCGCTGCGGCAGGTTCCTGCGGGCGCCAGGCGCCACAATGCGCCACAAACCTGTCTTTCTGTTCAGCTCTCGTGATGGCAGAAGCTAGCTTTTTCTTGAGCATCATCACTACTCCCGTGATACTTTTAGCGGCTGCGGCTGCTGCCGCCACCGCCGCCACTTCAGGCGTCATTGTTTTTTCTTGCCTGGCCGTTGTCTGGTTCATGTTTACTGTCGAAGTCTTTGGTTGTAAATATTGCCGCGCTCCAACCGATGAACTCCGTCTCCTTTCCGACATGACCTGTTCCCATCATTTCGAAAGAGTATGAGGCAACTGAAGCTTTTTGGGAAGGGACGAGTGTGAACTCTATAACAAATTGACAGAGTCATGGTTGTAAGGACAGTGGTGCGAATCACAAGAGAGGCCTGGTGATGAGCCTAGAATGCAGTAATCACAACATCACACATCATCATCGAATCATCAGCTTGAAGTAAATGAGCAATAGAAACACACCGTGATAAGGAAATTTGCATATTTACTACTTTCTGCATGAAGCTTGGCCCCTAAAATGGGCCCTGCTCTTGGGATCCTTATGTGCTGCCTGTACATTCTCTGGGCCCGTGTCATCCTTAAAACGCAGGCTCAGGGCCCCCGAAGCCCTGCAAGGTCATGGTTTGCGCTCGAACCCTGAAGCCCTGAACCCTCACAGGCACAGGCGGGGAACTCCTGCAACCAGCGCGACGAAGCTAGAGCCCGGGGAGGTCACAGCGTGCCTCCGGCACGATTCACGCAAGGAGTTTGGGGTTTGCAAGGCATTGACAAGGGAGCTTTGTGCAACTAACGCGCCTGCAAAAATCAGAAATACGGAAATACAACAGCAACCCTACTGCACCTTTTGTTCTAAATTCTGTGCTGAACACGGCTTCAGCAACCCTATGAACAACGCTACATAAGCTAGCATGGGGAGAGCATTTTCCTGAATCTGAATCTGGGGCCCGACTACCCTCTCCAAAATGTTAGCATGTTCCCGCTCGGAACTTCAGGCTATTTGAAGCAAGTCAGGTAGTCCACGCATAGTACCACAACGAACTAGCGGTAATGACCTATGCAGTCGTTGTTGCATATGAACTCTTCAAGAAGAAGGAAACGGCCAGATATTTGAAGCTTGAGACTTCTTGGATTGTCCTAGTTAGGAGCGGAGCAAGATAACTATAGTGATGGCTGATTCTGAGGTAGTTGTAACCCGTGTATAAGTACCTAGGAACCTCTGTGAGCCTCAAACCCGGAACCCTACCCTAAAAAGAGACTGGCCAGGTGGCAGCTGAAACAAGAGCTCGCCGATCTCCAGAGGCCACAGCATCAAGTCCAGCTTTCAGGGTGTTGGGATTAGGCTGGAACGCAGTTGCATTCCATGGTCAGCCCAACCCTGCGCAGGCTGCATACGCTTCTGCAGGTGCAGTTTTTCAGGGGCCCAACTTCAGGGCTCAGGGCTTGATTGAAGACGAGTATCCCAAAAAGATTCTGATTTTATGATTTCTTTCTACATGCAGGTCGCCCCTCCTTTAGGGCAACTAGGCTTCGCCAGGTAGGATGTGTTGTGGCTGAGGGTTAGCGTAGATTCGGGAAGCCTCCAGCCTTCGAGGATTTTCCGTGGCACCACCCAAAAAAAATTGGAACAAGGCTGCCAGTTGAGAATTGGAATGGCCTCCTGCCATGGCCCGAGCAACAAGCCATGCCTTGTACGTGGAAATTGATGATCAGAACGACTGACTGCGTGCTTGTGCCTTCACCCCAAGAATGGAAGTGTCATCTCCGCTCAAACTTGTGAAGGTGGTTTGATGCTGAGTTCAGCATTGGGGTTGTGAAGAAGCCAGTCTTGCGCTCCATAACACCCAGTTCCCGATAGATGGGCGGGGGGGGGCGTGGGGCGTCACCTATAATCCTGAGATTGTCACCCTACACCCAGCTACACCCTGAAAGAGGTCAGAAATCCAGGACCCCAAGCGACCCAAGCCTAGTGCACCGGAGCCTTCACGAGGCGGAGTGAGGTCATCCTTGCTCGGTCAGGCAAGGTATCCGCATGAGTCGAAAGATCTAAAAAGGTGTGAGTGAGTGGAAGCGGCAGATTTGGGTGCGGCTTTGCCTTTGGGACGTTTGGGGTGTCTTCACGTCGTCTGAAGGGGGTGTTGATGTTGTTGCAGTAAATTGTGCAGCATTGTGCAATCAAAATTGCAGGGCCTGCGAATCGTGGTGAGCAGTACGCTTGGGCGTTGGCTTCAAACCCCAGAGCCTGAAGTCTCAGCGCCAACCCTAGGCTGTCAACCATCATAAACCCACAGGCCCTGCTCTGAATTCTTCACCCGAAGGCCTATTCAATGGCTTTAGCTCTGAACCCCCAGTTGCAGAGCCTGCCTGCGCCGCAGGCTTGGGAACTCCAGAGTTTGAGGTGGCAAGTGGGGGCTTTCAACACTTCAGAGCCCCAAACTCCCAATTTTTTTGGTGCTCTTCTGACAGAATTGGGAGAGTTGTGCTTAGGATCGCAGTGTTCAGGTTTGCAACAGGAGGGAATTTACGCTATGGCTCCTAGGGTTCAGGGCCTGAGGTTTTAGGGATCAGGGTCCCGGCTTATTAGGCCTTTAATTTTTTTTGGTGCTGAGTTTATTTGTCGTAGGCAACAGCTCGTAGTTACTAGGGGGGGTTGTCTGGACAGAGTACACGTTAAGCAACTGTACACTGTAGGACGCCTTGCCAACATGTTTATTAGCACCAGCTCGTAAAGCGATTCCGTCAAAGCAGGCCTTCATGATTTGCACGGGTTCTTCCAAAATCATGGACCCCTTTTGGTTATAGGTTGTCTTAAGGAACCTGGGACCATGTTTTTGGGAACTACCTTCATGAAAACTGACTATCATTCGCGAGGTCACAGCCACACGTAACTGCTGGCTGTCACCTTTAAGTGGTTTCTGCCCATGAAACAGGGAGCTAGGGAATGCTCAAGAGGCGCTTCTGACAGCGCCCTCCTGTACCTACCAGCCCTATAGGATCCTTATCCCAATGACCCCAAAACAGACGCATCATGATAAGACATCCTACATATTTAGGTCTCTTCTTTTGCAACTTATGCGGAGACGTGAATTGCATTGTCTTTCTCCTACATATAGTAGACATATAGCCCATTGAACATGTACCAGTATCGTCCCCGCCTGCTTTTGTCCACTAAATTCCTGCCCACTGCACATTGAGTTCTATCCATGTCCCACAACACCAGGAAAATTCCAAAGTTGTCGTCATGCAATACATTGAACATCACGAGACTTCCGTCAAAAAAACACCCCGGCAGTGATGAAACCTACAAATCCTTTACATGCGCCCTAAAAGACCCCCGAGCAACACCACACGTAAACAAGACGACCGGGGCAAATGAAGAAAGAGTCCCCAAACCCCAAACCTTTCCGAAACCCTCCCCAAACTGTTCATCAAGTCCCTTAGGCCTATGAGCTCTACTACAAAGGCCAAATCCTGACCCCAAACCTGCAAATTTTCTTTTCGTTCCCGAAGAGGCGGAGGCAGAGCGCATCCGTGCAGAGTCCACCAAAGCCGACCTGTGGGATGACCCGGGCACCGCGTGGGGTGCCTGGAAATTAGGGTTAGGGCTTGGAGTTTAGCATCCAGGGTTCAGGGCTTATAGGGCTCAGCGCTTAAAGTTTAGGGTTTACAGTTTCGCTTTGAAGTGTATTTGTGGTTCAGAGCTTTGGGTTTGGGAATCTGGCTGGGGGGTTTTAAGGTAAGTGGGGATTAGGGTTGCCTCGACCGTGAAGCAACCAGGTAGGTGTAAGCTGGAGCAGCAATGGTAACAGTTATAATATTTTGTGGAGGGCAGTTTGTACTTACTTTAGCAGTCCTGGTAGGAACAGCTGCAGCAGAAGCAGCATTTTAGGGTGACAGGGGCAATAGCTGAACTGGGGTCATGATGATGGGAAGACGTGGTTGTAGAGTTTCTGAAGCATGCATTCTACATGGATGGGTCTGTAGGGTTTATGCAAGGAATCTGTCTACATCTCTTTGCGTAAGCGTAAAAGGCCAGCGTGTCACTCCAATTACCTAGTTTTTAGCAGTAACTACCCATAAATTATTAGTAGGTATAACCCATAAGAACGGTACCAGTTTAGTTGTAAACACCCATTAATTCGTAGGTTCTCCAACCCATAAAACTGTAGGTCATTGTGTTGGCAGGAGGACCTTGGCATCCACCCACAGAAGTTTTCCCGGAGAACCACTCCAACCGGACGTACTCATCCTCCACTGCCGTAGACCAAACAATGTATGGGGTTTCCCAAGCTTATATAGGGGATATATAGGGGTTATATAGGGTTTAGGGTTTCAAGATTAGTTGTATATAGGGACTTATAACCCCCACCAATGGAGAATCACATAGAAAATAAAATGGAGAATGAAATGGAAA